ATTATTCTTTTTATAAAATTATAAAGCTTTAATAAAGTAGTGAATACTCAACCGATTAACCTAAAATAGTACTTTAAGGTAAATAGCCGAATAGGTAATAAATATTCAACAAGTAAATAGGATTATTCTAAAAAGAGTTTGATTTCCAATCTATAAATCGGATCTTGTTAAAGTCACTTTTACCTTGCAAAAAATTTTTGAGGGCCACAGAGTAATTTACAAAGGGCTTCGATGAGGTAAAAACTCGGAATGAGCATGGTTTTAAACGTGCAGGCAGCGGGCAGCTATTATTAGTGTGGGTATTAATTTATATAGCGGCGCATCCACAACTCTTTTGAAGCTCAGGAGTAAATAATATATCCGTTGGCATTTGGTTTATCCTTCCCGTTAGGGAAAACTTTTTATATTAAAGGAGAGTACAGTGAGGTCAAATGTAACTTCAAAAGATAATATATTAGAAGTAGCGAAGCGACCAAAAAAGAAATTTTTGTGTTAAACAGAAAGGAGAGAGTGAGGGTCTATTTTAGTATATTCACTTAAAAAAGGTTTGGCACCCCCACCAACCCAAGCAAGTAACACGATGAAATGTGTCTTAAAAACTGCATCTTGGAAGCCTTCCTTCTTTTACCTTAAGATATGTTAAATTTATTCTATTATTATATTAAAATTATATATATTACATATATATAAAGCTAATATATATATATATATATATTATAAAAACATATTATATATATTATTATATATTAATACTATATACAGCCCGCTTACAAGCCTGAAAATATTATTCATTACTTACTTTACTTATTAGTATCTTCTTCTTACATTATTATTATTATTATTATATTTAATATTTTTATAATTTGTATCTATAAATTAAACAAAAATATTTTGTACTACTCTACACAAACCACCTTTTTTGCCACCCCCACCCGACGACGCAACAAGCTCAGAAAGCCTAAAAAGGCGGAATAAAGAAAGTGAAAACAGAGAAGACCCCCCCTCCTCCCCTTCTTTCCCTTCCCCCCCCCCCCTCCGCAGAGAAACGGAACGAATGCACAATGCGGACAGGCAAAAAAAGTGGGAGGGGGCTCCAGAAGGGCAGGGCAGTAAGCAGTAAGAGAACCCTTTTTAGCTAACTACAACACACTCTCCCCCCTTTTAATTAATCTCTTTCAGGTTAACATTATTGAGTATTTGTACCCAAAGCCGGCCGATGATTCCCCCGACAAGGTGTGCAGGACGGGGCCAACCGGCGGAAGTCCAAGGTAGCAAGCTACCCCTACGACTTCCAAGAGCACAAAAATAAATTTAATATTGACTCGGGGCCAGTGGCCCCGTATCAGATATTAAACTGATAAGAACAGATACTACACTTGATCTTAGCCAAAAGGCCGAGAAGCGATAGCCTCCCCACTCCTGGTACCTACTCTATATATATCAATTTGTTAAAATCTAAAGGGTTGGGGAAAATTGGGACTTGAATCACGTGTTTTTTGGGAAAATTTAACTTAAGGCTAAATTTGGGCATAAAGCATGACTTTGCTTTTTTTTTTTTAAAGCAATGGAATTTTGCGAGTTTGCCTTTCATCTCCTTTCTGTGCTAGGCTACTCACACTTAATACTTAACTTTGACTCGTAAAATTGTTACTCTTCTTTTTTAATATACTTATAAAATTCGGTTTGAAGTTCGCAGAACATTATATTTATTTTATTAGAACAAGTTGTAACGAAGTGAAGCATCATTTCTTCTACTTTCGTGCCTCTCTTTACATTAACAAGTTAAAATACTTTTTTTTATTATTTTTTGAAAACGGTTATCATCTGATTATACGTATGTGTATATTTTTAGTTTTTTAAAAAACCGCTAGTCTTTAGAAAAACCACTTTGCGGGCGACTTTGTCATGCGTCATATATAGCCTTGAACTTTTTATCCAAATAAAAGCGTACTAACCTTTTTCGAGTTAAAACAAAAATAGTACTCAGACAGACAGACGCAAAGAGTCTTATTTTAAAAAAAAAAAGATAAACTTGCTCAGCAGCTATTGTTTGGCTAAAACAAAAATCAATTAGTTTCAAAAGCAGCGAACGATGATTTAAAAAAGTTGCCTAAAAGATTCTTCTTATTAGGACCTTTTTTTGTTAAAATAAATCTTTTTTTTTTTCCGTTACAACACTTACTTAAAACCAATAGTTTTGCTTGAGAGTTAAAAATGGTTGTTCAACTTGCGTTTAGAGCGTTACATTCTAAATGTGAGCCCTATTCTTTCCATCCTTTTTTTTATTATCTCATGTGAAAAGGGAGCTCGTTCACTTTTTTCCAAACTATTTCGTTATAAATCCGGCGAGAGGAAGGTTATCATATATCGTTTCTGGCGCTTTGCCAGGGGTCAAGTTTTTTTAATCACAGCAAACTAAAAAACTGAGAACTAAGTTTTAAATTACGTTTTAAAAGTTATCTAAAAGCTTACCATAAACTTGAACCAAGGGCTTCATATAATTACTGTAGAAAAATTGAAATCTCTTCAACTTAAAGAATCACTTTAGAAGGCCAACCATACCATTTTTTAAGCTAAAAGTTGGGACCTACAAGCTCTTCAACTTTACTGCTACTTTACCCTTATAGCGTAGCTACAAGTTACAAGTTCGTACACGAAGAACTCGCAGTTTATTTTCTACGAGATTATCACTTTCTTGTTTTAATTACATAGTGACATTTATTTGAGAATACTATTGTAATAAAGTTTTTAATACTCTTCAAAGTTTAATATTGTCTAAAGTTATATAGTAATTAAGAAGCGTTGGTATCCATATGTATATGACAAATCCGAGACTACCTAAATGAGGTGGGAATGACAACCTCGCTTGTCCTTTTTACTTTTTATTAATTTCTTATCGACTTGGTGTTTTTGTTATATGCTAAAGGGCATATACATCCACGTATAATGATGACGGTCATACTATATAGATTACGAAGTCATCACGCAGGCTACTAGGCGATGGAGCAACCCGTGAAATCAGTCATCTATGTCTTCCTTCACATCTCAATCATCTGTACATCCCCGCGAAAAGCACTTCGCCTCGTCCCATCTGAAAATTCAAAGCGCCAGAGGAGTAATTAGTAGTACTCGACGCACTACGCTGTCAGTTAAATCAGAATAATAATAAATTTCATTTCCGACGGAAACGGTTTATTAGAGTATCAGTCCTGTATATGTAATTCAACATGCTCTAACGCACCAAAAAGTGTAACATTATCTCTACGAAGACGATTGGGTGTTGTCAAAAAGGAATATTTCATAATATGAACATATATAACTATATTAACTATATAACTATGAAGGAACAGAAAGAATAAAATAGAAGAAAGCAGACAGAACAGAACGGAACCCTAAAGCATAGAATGCGACCCAACCATGTAAAATAATAAACATGACTTAAACTTCCTCTCGAGAGAGGAGGAGAGTTTTAAACTTGCAGATTGTTAGAGCCCCCACCACGCCAAAAAGTGGACGCCCTACTTAACCTTACAGTTGTCGCAGGGGGTCTCACAGATCTGGAAATTCTAAATACAGATATGTCTCATGAAGCATTGGATATTACGCTCGGCCATTTTCGGTACTTTCCAATAAAGTACTTTCTTAGGCTGATGCGTTTGTTAGGTTGCATACCGCTCGAAGAAATGTTTACAGAGCAGCTTCAAATACTAATGCTTTGAGGAGCAGAAGGGACGTAGCTGTTGAGCGGGTTTGTGGTGCATGGTAGTTTATATCATCAAGACTGCAAAATAGCTCGCATGAATTACTTAATGTTTCCGCAGATCATTGACTTGCCGGTGGCAGAATCAGGTTTTCCAGGACTTGTAAACATACTCGGTCCTTCGCTGTTCAGGTCTAGGCGCACTTATTGAGGTAACTCGTGAGGTTTCTCACATTGCATCGTTAGATGTTTCTTTCCCTGCCCTCGCTTAGTTTTTGCATGAACTCTTTAAATTTGGCAGGGTTTAAAAGGTACGTGCTTAGCGGCCTAGAGCTGTACGGCAACCTGCTTTACTCAGAAAGCTGTGGGTTTTAATTATGCTAACACCTGATTAGGTTTTAAATTATCACTTGTTAGAATACTTCAAATTTAAGTCAAAATTTGGATTATATTCCATGTCCAAGTTGGCTCTGGCAGCAGTTTAGTCTTTAAATTTATAAATAAATTTTTTGTAAGATGACAGCTTTCTTACCCTAAAATGAACATTCAGTTATAAATTGTATGTTAGGAAAACTATTTATTTTCCAGACTAACTTTTTTTATTTAACGATAGAATATTTTAACATGTTCCCCACGCTGGCATTTGATCAACGCCAAAAGAGTTCCTGTCGGTCGTGTTGCTCAAAAAGCTGCTCATCTAATTTTAGGAAAGCATAAACCTATATACCATCCTGCCCGTAAGTTAACAATTTTTTTAAAATTTTATTTAATATTAACTAAGATTTTCTTAGTTGACATTGGCGATTGCGTTGTTGTAATAAATAGCAATCTAGTTGGGTTTTGTGGAAAGAAATGGAAAGAAAAAAAATATTACAAGCATAGTGGCTATCCGGGTGGCCTTCAAGTTTGGACGGCAGAGCAACTCCACGAAAAGAAGCCCACCGAAGTAAACCTTTTTATATGTATAGTATCTACTAACTTGGGATAAATCATTCTTTCCGCAGTTGATTCGCAAAGCTGTGTGGGGGATGCTCCCTTCGAACGCACTTCGTTACAAGATGATGAAAAGACTATTTATTTTTATAGACGACAAACATCCTTTTGAGCAAAATATTGATTCCAAAGTTCATTTAGAACAGAAAGCTAATGCGACATACTCTCCTAAAATTGTAAAAGCGAAGCTGGCTAACTTGTCGTGGGACGATATAAATGAAGATGGAAGCATTTTTTAATTTAATAAAAAACTTATTTATTTTTGTATTATACTTAAAGACAAATCAATATCAATTTTTTCCCCTTGAAAATATTTAATGAAACTCTAGTGCCAACAATTTATTTTTACTTGCTAAGCCTCATATAAGCAAAGCCCAACGAAATTCCGGAAATCATTGCGCCTAAGTGTAGTAAGTAATTTAAGAAAATTGTTCCCAAAAAAAAAAGTTGGGCCAACCAAAAAAATACTTAAGAAAATCCAACTTCCCTTGCTCGATCAAAGTTTTTAGTCTTTCCGTCTGAAAATAATAATAATAGTAGTTAACAATTCCGCAAATTTTTTAACATATTAGAAATCTTGAAGTGTATTATAGCTATTGGTAATAAAGTTCTCAATCATCTAAGAGATATGAAAATTTTAAAACTTTTAGCGAAAGATAATGGCGCTAAAAGGGCTTAGATCAAACTTAGGACATGTAAATAACTGGGATCTCTTATAAAGAAATTACTTCTGTGTCCACGTGGTTTCTAGCATCCTGGATCGCTTGCGACTGTTGCGCGTGGAGCTCGCGAATGCGGCCTTTTTCTAAACTGAAATCTAAACGCAGGTGGGCCTATTTAATATATATTAAAGCAAAATAAATTCAAATTCCGAAATACTGAGATTTATATATATATAGGCATCGTATCTGTCCGCAGAAACAGTCTTTATTTTTGCGGTCACCAAAAATGCCGTCATACCTTTTTATTATTATATGGAAAGCGAGTGATACAAACAGCATAACTAAACTGCAGTATGTTCTGCTTTCTTTCCAAAAAAAACTGAACATTTATAAAATTGTTTTTATTGCCTGCAACTTGGCTATCTCATCGTTAAGACTTAAACGCAACTTTTCCAAATCGGCCTATAATGGGATTCAATAAATTTATATTAACTATAAAAATAATAAACTAAAACTAAAATTAAATAAAAGTTAAATTATATAATTGCTAATTTGTATAACTTGGTAGTAAAGAAAAGATTTTAAATAATAGTTTGTTAAAAAAAACCCTCAAATAAGTCTAAAACTTTTAAAAATTGCCAAGAATATAAATAATATAAAAATCACAATTAAATAAAAAGAAAAGGGTGACATTTTTATAAACAATAACTTGAAAAAGTTAACAAAGAAAACATGTATTTTCTGTTGTTCATATTTGACAAGAGTAAATTTCGATTTATCCAAAATTTCAATTTCGTTTTTTAAATTTGAAAATTTCAGGTCAATAGCTGCAGCAAACTGATTATGGTCCTCTCGTGAAATTTTTATTTCGTCTATCCGAGAAAAGCTGAGTATAAAATTTATAACTCAAGCATAAAACTATGAGAGAAGAAAAATTAAGAACTAGAAAGGAATAAATAAAAAGCAAACGATGAGTCTGTTGTATCTTTGAGGGTGTCACATAATACAGAAGCCTGTTCATTATTAAAGCCAGCTTTTTGCAATTTTTTCACGACTTCGTATGTGTCAAATTTAGGTGCGTTAGAAAAATGACCTTTGACGATGGTAACGTTTGTTACAAATAAAAAAAAATAAATGTTAAACTTTTTAGAGTTAGTAATTATAATCAGTACATATTATATTTATGTAGGAAGTTATAAATCTCCATTGATGTAGTCTCATGCGTTATTCGTTTTAAATTAGGTTAAATTTTGGAACTTAAATCTTTTATTAATATTTACTAAAATAGTTTAATACTTAATAAAACAGTTTTTTTAAAAAAAAATTTGGGGGTAGCCTTCTTTAAGGGTATTTTAAATAGTGCTAAAAGGTCAAAAGTTATTTCGTACTTAAGCGGTACAAACTATCATTTGTTTGAGGAGGTCAGATGGAGGTTAGATATTGCCAGTTGGTGCACAGGTTAGTAAATATAGAGGAGTTTTTTTTGATTATAGCGGTAGTAGGTGTTGTGCTTAAAAGGGTTTTTTTTTTAATCTCATAATATGAGCAAGTATGTGAAATTTATCTCTTTCTTTTTAATAACAGCGGTAGGACCTGTAAGTTACGGATATTTTTTATACACTCCTGTTTAAGCTAGGACTGGTGCTCTACTTTTAGTTGTGGGTTGAAAGAATAAAGTAAAAAAGAAGGATAAATAAGAAGTTAGAATAATGAATAATTAAAAGTAGCCCTAAATATAATATAACAATCAAAACGTAAGTACCGCCCTACTGTTTACTAAACTAAGGGCGACGATACCTCCATCGTAAGTTAACGAAAAGTTTAGGTTAGGTTTTTTGATAACAATACTTTAAATCCTGATGACCGTGATGTAGGCGCTGGTTTAGTACACTCGATGGTGCTTCAAAGTCAGCTTCCTTTCGTACATGTAGTACACTATAAGAATTTTCTATTTTAAGGAAAATTTTGTTTTTGTAACCTTTTTTTTTATTTAGACAAATACATTAGATTAAAAAGAAGTAGAGGTAGAAACTAACTATGACTTCAGCGTATAGATAGTTAACTTTACTTCTAATTTAGTATACTACCCTAAACTGAAATCGGTAAACTGTGCATACTGCTATTTTGCTTATATGAATATGCCCAATACGATGAGCCAGTTAGGCTTCTTTTACTAAAAGGAAGCCCTCAATCTTATTTTACATGAAGCGTAAGAACTTGAATGATTTGGGCGATTTAATTTTAAAAGAAATATTTTAGTATTATTGATATTAGGTGGTTAATTTCAAATATACGTGAAGAGCCATGCATTAAGTCTATGTATAGCTAAAGAAATAAATGTTCAATATATACGTGTAAATAATACGGATATCTATAACCTATGCAAAAGGTCGAGTTTATTGACCAGTTTTCAATCTTAACTTATACCCTTTACGAAAAAATATTTATTTTTGTTTAGTTAATTTTTATCCATCATTATAGGTTAAAATTAATTTCTCAATTTTTTTTCTGTAATTTTTTATAGGCTTTTTTCATCAATTTAAAAATCTTTTTACTTTAATATTATTTTTTACAAAGTACAAAGCCCCTCTCGTACCCGTTAAAGGTAAAGAATTTCAAAGAGGTTATTAGCAGGAATAAATTAGTAAGAAGGGTTATAAAGAAGTGTCGTTGAAGAGTATTGAAAAGAAACTTCCAAATTTCAAAAAAAAAAAAGAAGACGTAAATATAGGCGTACAAACCTATAGACTCCTAGATTGACTTGTGTATGTATGTATCTACAAGGCTACGTCAGCTGAAGGTTTCAGTTCTTTGGTGTTGGCGCAAGCTATTTTAGTTGGCTTCATTTTTTCTTTGCTTTTACCTGTGTCCCGTTATAAGCAACCATAGTTAACCTGCAGAAACGACGCGTTTAGGAGATGGCAAGGACAATAGTTGTAAGGTTTTTATATTTTTGTGTTTATGTATTTGTCTTGCGTTTGTGTATTATGGGTTAACGTTACTGTGCATGTGTCTTGTATTATGTGGTTTTTTGTGTTATTGTCGTCAGCGTAATAGTAATATTTGAATGTAATTTGAGAGTAAAAAGTAGTCGATACTTAAGAATATAGATATCCACTTGCAAAGGAGCTCCACACAAAAGTTGCGTACTTACAGTATTTAATTGAGTGGTATCTTTTTTTTAAAATCATTAAAAATTCCCTGCTCGATAAAGTACTTTGTATATTTAAAAATT